TTGCCAAGGTGGCTAGATTGGAGGTGGTCCGGGTGTCGCAGGTATTTGACCTCGGGCTATGTGAGATCGGACTGTGACTTCGGACTACTACCACTTCGGACTACTACCACTACAAAAGGCTCTGACACCAAGCTAGACTTTCCAGGTTTCCTAAACCCTCTTCCGTCCAAGGTCTTGTCGTCCTCATTCTTGGAGAAAGAATGGCTTTCCCTAATGCTTGTTATGGCTAAAAGTTTTAGACACACAAAAGGCATCTTGGTAAACTCGTTCGAGGAGCTTGAATCTCACGCTCGACTCCCTTTCTCATGCTAAGAATATCCCACCGATTTGTCCAGTGGGACCAATATTGAATCTGAAAGGTGACGGCCATGATCTACCAATATTGAATCTGAGAGGTGACAATTATGATGTGAAAATTGTATACCTAGATTAACACAAAACTTACTTGCATTCAATTTAAAATTAATTAACAATAAGTAGAATTTTTTTGCATTCGATTTAAAATTAATTAATAATAAGTGAAGTAATATTCCTTGTATTTATATTTGATGTGGGGTTTTCTCACTCAATACATCATTCACGTGCAAACTCACTATAAATGTTGTATTCTATTACGTGACTTAACAAGTATACCTCTTGCATGCAGACCAACGTGACTTAACAAGCATGTCATTTAGATTCTATTACCATGTAAAAGTTATGTATGTGAACTCAATACAAGGATTATATTTAATTTAAAATCAATTAGCAATAAATATAATAATTTTTTTTATATTTAATCTTAAAGTTTTTTATTTTTATACTGAATATAAGATTTTTTCACTCAATACATGAAAGATCAGTCGTGTTTCTCTGCTTCGGGAGCATGGGGGGCTTAGGTGAGGATCAAATGAAAGAGATCGCCTGTGCACTGGAGCAAAGCGGAGACCGATTCTTGTGGTCCCTACGTAAGCCACAACGAATGGGAGTGATGTTGTCACCATCTGCTTATTCAAATCTAAATGAGGTACTGCCAAATGAAATCGTAGATCGGACGGCTGAGATCGAGAAGGTGACTGGATGGGCTCCACAAGTAAGAATCCTGTCTCATCCTGTCATTGGAGGGTTCGTATCGCATAGCGGTTGGAATTCTACGTTGGAGAGCATATGGTTTGGAGTGCCGATGGCCGCATGGCCGCTGTACGCAGAGCAACAGTTGAATGCATTCCAGTTGGTGGTGGAGTTAGGATTGGCGGTGGAGATTAAGATGGATTATTACAGGCGGAAGATGAGAATGGAGTAGTGATTGTGAGCGCAGAAGAGATAAACAGGAATAATGGGTGTGATGGAGGGAGATAGTGAGGTGAGGAAGAGGATGAAGGAGATGAGTGAAAAAGGCCGACATGCAACCGTGATGGATGGTGGATCT